GCAAAATTCAGCTGAACTAGCTCTGGTATAGGCTAAGGGTTCCAGGGTCCCAGCGGCACATCCCCACCCAGAAATTCCGAAAGTACCCCCCCGGGATTTAATCAGAACTGTTTCAAATACATTCATGTGACAAAAAAGTTCAATCTTACCGCATCAGGTTTGTATATTTTCCACAAAGCTCTCAATCTTGAAAATTGTTTCAGGAGACCCACGAGATTAGCTATTACGACAGCGGCTAAGATGGCCTGCAATGGTACAAAGAACACTGTTAATAATGAATTGTGAAAATGGAAAGCAAGGTTAGACTCTTAAAGCAATTTTCGTTTGGCCTTCAAAAACGCGTTCCGCCTTCTAAATTGACCCGGCACGCACCTCTCGTAACACCTTACAGGATTGGCTGAGAAGACAATAAAACAAATCATCGAAACAATAGACCCTAGCCCTAAAACAGTGGAGCTGCGTGTTAATAAGGACCATTGGAAAAAGAGGTTACTAAGAGGTGCATGGCTGCTGTCCGAATCCGTCGCTGCTTGTTTCATCGACCACCAGTTAAAAGTATCAGAGCAGCTTACCGGAGGAAACTCAAATACAGAACAGAACGCACTGTGAAAAGCAATACCAACTAAAGGGAAAATCTTTTTTTTTTTTCTTTTTTTTTTTACTTTACCTTGGGAAGATGGAAGAAAAGTGGAGCGATAAACAGCAGGACCAGAATAACAAGAAGGATAACAACAATACTGCACAGCTGTGAACAGTAAAATGATAAAAAAAATATAAGCGTGTTAGATCTTTCACCATTCACGTTCAAATAGAATCAGGGGTCAGTTGTACGTGAGATTAAATCATGTCTAAAATGCCTAATTGTTTTTAAAAGAATTACTGTCCAAATTATCCCAAAATCCGTTCGAAGATGTTAGAAAATTATTTACCAGGCCGTTCAATGACGAGAGAAGACTAACATGTGTGTGACATTGTAGGAAAATGGCGTTTTGCTCCGTATGGCATCGGTTACATCTTTCCACCTTTTGTTCAAGTAGCTAGTTTGGGGTGGGTTTCCTGTGACTTGCCGGAAGAGGACCCTGATCTTGGCCTCAATTAAGGAATTGATTTGAATTCCATAGAATAACATTTTATGTTAAAGTGCGTGTATTTACCTGTGTGTTGGCGAGGTTTTCCTGTACAGCAGTTCTCGCCAAAGCGTTGCAAATTGGAAAGCAAGAGAAAAATGAGCCCGCGACATTCCCAGCGCCGTAAGCGATCAGCTCCTAGAAAGATATCGATTTTGGTTTAATACGCGAGCTTTTATATAGTCAACAACATATCGTAATTTTTTTCGGCCTTACACAGATGAACATCTTTCCCCGAGGGATCATATACCATCAGCTGTGGTCTTCACTGCAATGAATGGCGTGGAATTTCAGGCCTTTTCGGTCTGATTTATTTAGCTTGTACCCAAGCTACCCCTCCACGGACACATAGTCCGCCCACTACTACGGATTTATAGTACGAACGTACCTGGTTTGGCTCCACCGTGTAACCGCGCTTCTTTGCAAACATGACCGATACCGAGATGTTTGTAGCAAAAATAACCACTGCGATCACAAAGGCGTCTGGGAAGATGTTTGACATCATGGAAAGGGAGGGCACACTTAGAGGAGGAAGTCTGGAAATGAAAGTGGAGATGTCAGTGAAACTTCAGTAATCAATATTGTCTTTTCTTTCAAAAACATAATTTTTGACATCCTTAGATGGGTGATGTTCCCTTGACTCGAAATGTTCGAGGCTTACCCTTTCGGTATTTTTCCTAAAATAGATACTCCAAACTTTTTATTTATTGCTCCTCCGTATGAAATTGCAGTTCCTACAACAACCTAGGAAAAGGGGAACAAGGCTAACGTTAATACAAGATAAATTTTTCAAGCCATTTAATCTCAGGAGCTCTCTACTAGACGAATCGACAAGCTAGGCTTGTCTGCTTACAACGAAAATTTGGTTTATCAACGGAATTCATAATGTAAATTGACCACCGTACAGGAATTAAAAAACGTTGATGTCAGCTGTATGGTGGTCAATTTACATTGTTATACCTCCCAACTCAAATACGTTTTCCGATTGGAGGAGAACGTGTCGTGGGTCAAAACACACTAACTCCGTAGGGCGAACAAAACTCACTAACTCCCTAAGAAAAAAAACAACTTGAACTTTCGACTCGCACGTGATCAGGTCGTGCTCCTTGAAACCGCGGCAAATTTGTGAGCCAGCCGGCGTCAAGCAAACGATTTCTTCGCATTTTTTTCTATTTTTGACTTGGGAGGTACAACAAAACACTTAATGACTGGTTACGACTGAGGTACATCCTCGCTCGATAGCTGCTAGGGCTGGAAGTCGCTCTCATCACTGCCACCATTTAGAAGATTAATCAGGTCAATCCGTCTATGTTTGCATTTGCACTCGCAGCACTTGTGGCCAGCCTCGTTCCCAGTACTATTCCTTTTCTTTTGGACGTGAAAGCAAAGGTCCTAGGAACGAGGGTCTTAGCTAAGACCTCGAATGCTGTATTTAAAGACGATTTTAGTGAAACACTTCAACTCAAGAAACCCTTGTCGTATCGGCATGGACGTTATTTAAGTTCTGAGAGTCATTTAGCTGCCCTCCACCAAAAGAAGAAGTTCTACAGAGAAACAAATCCGGTATTTCGGAATATCTTCTGACTGATGCCCAGTTTACAGAAAAAATGCCCTTGTTTAAAACCCCCAGTAGAGAGGGGTCAGACCCAGGCTATTTCCCCTACCCCCCTTCCCACCTCCCCGTGCGCCCATCCTCGTCACCTAAATTGGTCCCTGTTCCCTCTACTTGATAAATAATAAAATAAAATAAACAATCAAAAGGATGACATTACCACCAGCAGTTCAGCAGGGATAGGGACGGGAAGTTTGTTCTTGAATCGTTCATTCACTTTTTTTAGTCCAATCAGAATCGCTAGACAGAGCAAGCCAGTAATGATGGCTCCGCCGTTGGAAGATGCTATGTGTTTAAGCATGTAAACCACGGCCTGAAAAAACAAACAAACAAACAAACGTAGTCATTCGACTTATAGAATACTCTGGGCCAAGAACGCAGACTGCACCATCTCGCATTATGTACAAAGCAATACATATATGCATGCAAGACACTTTCGAAGATTCCTAAGATTGAGGAACTGCAAAGTAAAATTGAAATTCAGTGGAAAATCGAACATTGTTCTTCCTCTCCATTAGAGTGATTGTGAGTTCTCCTTTCCCTTCTTTTCTTTTCTTTTGTATGTATCAAGCTGGTTTGTAAGTATCATTCCATTTTTATTGTGTTCTATCAAGTTACTGTATTAGTGCTATGTGTGTTCCTCGTGATATGTTCAATGAAAATTCCAGCTTAGTGGTCAGAGCGGGACTTGAACCTGCGACCTCCGGATGTCAAGTCCGGTGCCCTAACCTCCTCCTACATCTCATCTACTCGGGCCCTTTCCAAAGAAAACGCTCAGTAAAAATTTTCACCTTAGGCGCAGCAAGTGGTCTTGAGAACTGTGGAACTTTGATTCCAAGAATATGGGGCATTTGACTGATAACAACCAACACCGCTGACCCTGTGGTGAAACCGCTGATCATCGGATCTGACATGAACGTGGCCACAAATCCCAGTCGAGCTGCTCCCATTGCGATCTAGCAGTGTAGCAACAAAGTTTTGTAGTTGGTAACTTGCGTAAATGAGTAAGAAACACGCAAAAAGATTCTCAATGGGGAAACGACACTGACCATGGCGCATGGCATAAGTCGAAGTGACGGGTTACACATATGCGAATTGGAATTAAAGCAATTGTAATATAAATGGTTTAATCCAGGTATGTGTTTCTCAAAACAAGAAACGCGCGCCACGAGTTATAGCATAGCTAAATGAAGCCCGATCCTTCGGGTGAGTGTATTCCTAAGAACAACTGTTTATGGTAACATTGACTGACGTTTCGATAACTCGAGCGGAGGTTAAGTCACGTGACACTGATGATGACTTTCGGTCAGGCTGTCGAAATCATGGACTGTACTTCAAAGAACACTCACTCACGGACAATCACACTACACTTAGTCCTGAAAATTGCAAGTATGAAACAACGAATAAAAACCAGAGAAGAGATTTTAGTTCTCATGGTTAAGCACAGCTATAATTGATAGGTGAATTTCGTTTGTAGTGTTTATTGACCCTTAATTTGTGACAGCGAAAAGAGCTCTATGAAAAATATATCTACAGTCGATGCTACTGAAAGCAAGGCAATTTATCTTGAGCTACCATCGGACAAAGACGCCGTAACTAAGAGGTCAAATCACCTGAATAATGCCAATAAGGCACGCAAGGGAAATGGCAATTTTCAATTTCATTGCATCAACTGGTGACCATAGGCCGCTTGAGGCAGTTGTCGGGAGAGAACCGGACGTCGTGCCGTTCATTGGAGTAGGAGTAGGACTGGGTTCAAATGACATTTTCGCCACCTCTCGCTCACAGACACTCGCCACCATCAAACAAATCACTGCGAAGCTGCCTGTCATGTGACAATAGAAAGAAGAATTCAACGGTAAAAAAAGGTGTAAAGAGAACAAGAATGGGCAAAACAGCGCGCTTTTGAAAACCACAAATTTGTATTAAGGCCCGGTCCACACTATGCCGCATAAATTTGAAAACGCATGTCCACACTAATCCACACGAATTCGGATAAATTATTCCCCGAAAAGGGAACTTTTCGAAATAGTCTCCAGAGTGGAAGAATTTAAAAACGCAGTCTTTGCGTTTTGGTGTGGACGGAAAACATTTTGAAAACGAGACTTTTTGAAAACGCTGACGTCACTATAATAATAACACGGCCGTGGCAGCATTGCGTTCACAAGTATATCCGGATTAGTGTGGACAGAAAACAATTTATCTGTTTTTGATCTAAGCAAAGAGAAAAAGAGCCATTTTCAAATTTATCCGGGTTAGTGTGGACAGACAACATTTTCTCTGGCGTTTTAAATTTATTCGTTTTTAAATTTTTCCGGCATAATGATGTGGACGTAACCAAATTTCGGGTGACTTGAATAAGTGAACCTTGTACCCTGACAGTTGTCAGGGCGCGTCTTTAAGATCATGCTTCGTGTTTTGAACATTTGTTTTGTGGTCTATCCACTGGCTGACTGGTTTCAACCGTAATATTTTGAAGGCGGTAGGCTCTCGACGTTCCTTCCTTTGCTCCAAGTAATGATCCACCCGCGCGAAACTCTGGAGGTTTTGTTCAAAACTAAAGAATAAGCCTTTTGCAGTTTACTTTTAAAGGCAAAATCTTACATGCACTAGCTTGAAAGCGGTAGATTTACATTCCATGAGTCTCAGCGAAGACGCTTACCTACAGAGAGATGTTTGGATGTTCCCATAATCATGTAAACCAAGACTGGAATGATGGCAGTGTAGAGACCAGTAACAGGGGGAAGGGACGCCAACATTGCGAACGCAAGACCTAAGAAAACCATAAAAAACGAGATAGGAAGTTAAAACTAACCACGCAGTTAACAGCGTTAGGCCACTTATTTACCAGACAGGCATTTTAGTGAACAATTTTATACTCTGAGGAATGGAAACCAATTGCTGAGATGAACATCAGTTGAAGTAAGGCCAGCCATTCAAAAATGAAAGGGGTTGGAACCCTTTGGCTTGATTTATCTGCTGACTAGCCTGCAAGCAGGCTCACCTTTGCGTCACACGCGCGAGCGGCGAAGAGCAAAGCGATCCGGCGGGAAGGCGTGTGATGAAGAGGCGCCAAGAAAGTGAAGTTTTTTTTCTCGTCTCGCGGCTTCGCCGCTCGATTTCGCGCTTTCGGCTACGCCGCGAGCGCTTGTGCTCCAACGTGAGCCTGCTCGCAAGCTATCTGACGACGAGTGGGTGGATTTTCTGAGCTAAGCTCATAAACAGCTCAAGTTTCTATGAAGATAACCCTGGCTTCTGGAACATAAAATGGTTTCGAGTATGCTTACAGCGCCTTGTGGATTGGATAACAGACCATCCAGGTTTTTACCCTTCCTGCGTTCTAGCAATCGTTAAACATTTCAGTAAAAATTGAAAGATCTTTGTTTCGAGGGGTCAGGCCACCGAGGAGCTTAGTTCCTCACTTTTGGAGATAAGTATTTGTTAAATGAATTGATAGATTTTTCACCGGATTATAAAATTGTGTTAATGTAATTTTAAATAAGCCCCGGCGGCGGATTTCAAAGTAGGAAGGAAGTAGAGCGTAAAGACCACGGGGGGNACAACTCAATGACCCTGCGTAGGGCTCAAAACCAGACCACTCTGTCCAGAGTCTTGGCCCTGGTTGTGCCCTGGAGAGGGAGGGAGGGGTATATAGGTATGTGCGGCCCCAAAGGGTATGGTTTTTCAGCCGATTTGGTCATAAATAGGGTGTCAATTCTAGCCATTTTGGTCATAAATAGGGTACGGTTTTTGAACCCTAGTCTTGAACTGGGTATGTTTTTTAGAAGAAGCTACTTTTTCATCATTATTGATAAGAGCGATCAACAAACGCCATCCACGATGCCTTTAACATCGGTCTGAACTAGGGAACTAAATACACGGCAGGTCTGAAACAGGGTATCGGTTCAGGATCAAGTCATTCATACGGTATCGAATTTTTGGTCAGGTCATAAATGGGGTAGGGAATATCACAGATTTTGGTCGTAAATGTGGTAACGCTTTCAAGGAAGCAGGCCGCAGACCCCCACCCAATTTTTTTCGGAGTATCCTCTCCCTCCCCCCCCNTTACAGGAATCTGTAGATCATCCTTCTGCGATTCAACCACCAGAAGCTTAATCCATTTGAAGGTTTCGCACATGGTGAAAATCGATTATTTTTATGCATCAGTCAATTCCAGCAGTGCCCCCCCCCCCCCCCCCCCCCCCGGGGTAAAGACCTTTGTTTCTTTCTTCTCACTTTAGAGTAGGAGTCGCTATTTCGGATACTGCCCGGAGTGTTTGTTTCTGGGAAATTTTCTTCTACTTCACTGTAGTATAGCCGCATTAAACCAGTTTGTAGGACTGCCTCATGGACCCCTTTTCAGCATATCACGAGTTACCGAAATTGGTTGCTTTTATTGTTTGGTTTCAAAAATCAGCTGAATGAAAACTATTTAATATGAGGCTTTCATACTGATACAAATCTCGCGTTCTTAAAACTTCATGCTCCGAGCAATGTTTAATCATGTTTGATCACTCTATCCTCCAAAACTTTACGACCGCCACAACTCGTGACCAGCCGTGTTCAGAAAGGACGGCAAAACTGTCGACTTAAGTGAAAAAGAGAAAAAGAGTATTTTTTTTTCTTGTATTCCGCGAAGTGGGTTGATTTTGTTAACCGAAGAATCGTATTATTGTCTTTGACATGTACGTCTACTTCGTGTATCCAAACTGTTCACTTCTTCGGTCACCTACGTCTTCTTTTTAAAGGATATCAGTTTTCCATTCTCTTTTACTTCAAGTGTCGCACAAACGTAGGTCCGCGAAGGATCCTCCAAACCTCATCGCTCTATCGCTGTAGTCCTGCCGACTTTTAAGTTTCGAAGTCTGTATTTCACTTTCATGTTGCCATAAACTTACTGTTTTAATATCCAGTCAGTAGTGGTAATTTGATATAGTAAGAAGATCAGACTTTCAGGTACGGACTCTCGACTGGGTGTAGTTAAATCTTGATCATGGACACTGGATTGCGGATTGCGGATTACGGATTCAAGACAGCATTAGAAAAAGGTCAACATTGTGCCCACACTCATGATAAGCACGTGGTGGCAGCGAAAAAAACTAGTCCTTAGCTACTGTTGATTTTCGTTAAGATCACTCTGAACCACTAGCGAAAATAAAGAAATAAATTACATTTTTTCTAGGTTTTTGTTATCCCCTTTTGTTTTTTATTTGTTCACGCCTTATTTCTATGTTTTTTTCTTTTTTCTTTTTTTTTTATTGGGGGGGGGGGATTAATTTTGTTTCTTTATTTTCCCCTAATCTTAAGATCCAAAGTAAACAACAAATCGATTGATTTGGCATATTTCCCGAATCACGTTTGGCCTCCCCCCTTTTTCTATAGGAAACCTTACGACTTAAATGTTAAGCGAAGGTTTGTTGTTATTCATATGACCATGCTATAGAAACAAAATCTTTAACTAATCCGCAAAACAGCTACCCGGATCTATTTTATCACGAGGTCACTGTCTGTCTGAGGTCCATAGTCCTCCGCCGTTTTGCGGGAAGCCGATTTTTGTGAGCGTTTTTTCACCAATGTCATCTGCTTCAAACGCTTGGTTGTTTGTGCCTCAAATGCTTGGTTGTTTGTTAGATTTTGATTGATAGTGTAATCGATTGTTTTCTTTTGTGCACATGTTTTTTTTTTTTTTGTTTGCTTTTCTTAAATCTGAGAAAGGTTTATCTAACGACAAGTGTAATGGCGCTCTTAGGTATCACAAGATCGGATTCCGATGTTAACTCTTACACAAGAAATTCTAGTTTTTACAGTAAACTGGGATGCAAAGCGCCCCTGATAGAACGCGATGTTAAGAATATGTTGTAGTGGACTATGCCCGCGCAAGTATAAGCGCAAAGATTTTAAAGAATCATTTTTAAATATTGTGAGTATTTCGACCGCAAAAGGAATTTAAACGCTTGAAAAGTTTCTGCACTCATTGGTGATATTTTTCGTCCCATTCGGGATATGTAAACTTGATCATAAATAAATTGTTAAAGTTGTTGAGACATTTCTCATAGTGAAAAAAAGAGACTCGAAGAAGAGCACCTTTTGAATCCACTTATACTGCATATTAAAAAAAAGTTTATGAGAATGGAGACAACCAAATTGTGTTACCTTGAGGAATGTGCATGATTCCAACTGTCAAGCCTCCGCTTATATCAGCCACCAAATCTCTCTTGATGTTGTACTTTGGCAGCCAGCGAATGATCGGAAAGAGATCTACCAGCCATTGGCAAAAAGAATCCTTAGAACAGGAGACTGAGGACACTTTTGTCTTAACAGCTTGTAAATAGCCCTTGTTTTCTAATGACGAGTCTGTGGAGCGCCGTGTGGCCAGAAGAGGCACAGATTCGTCATACACTTTCCGTTCGATTCGTATGTCGGGAGCACCACCCTGAGTTGAGGCTCCTTCCATCTCGCTTCGCAAATGAGGATATAAAACATTGCTTTACAACAGTTTTTATACGATGCGGCACCCAGGTGATCAGCTCGAGGACGTAAGAACTTGCTAAAGCATGTCACTTCGGTCATTTCGTCGTAACGTTGTCGACATATCAGGTTCCGCAGGTTTACCATGCTCGCGATGTTACCGAGCCAGTGGTAAATAACCATTTTGACTTACGTTATATGATAAACTAAGCTTGTAAGGAAAAGACACACCAATAGTCACCGTAGAGATGTTCCGATCGTAATGTAGTTTACCGGCAAAACAATGCGTCTTGTGTAGTAGCTGCACCTCCGTTGAAATTGTATATAGATCGCCAATGGAGAATGAGGTAATCCTAGTGATGATAGTCTCGTGTGAGTAAAATTAAAAGTTTGACCGTTAGGTCACATTTCTTTAACTAGCCACCGGACTTGTTTTGAATTTGTTTTGCAAGGCACAGTGTAGCTACAGCGATTATTCTTTGGTATTGTGGTCAAGTAAAACAGCAGAAAATACTGTGCGTAGATCCATGGAATCACTACACCTGGCCCATTTGTTTTGTCGGTAAACTACATCGGCATTTTCTGTTGGATGAATGTTTGCCTTCGATCAAATATTTTGTCCGACTTTTAACAATGTTAAATGACGTATAGTTACGCGTTTAACATTGTTTAATATACAACAAATGTTTGATGCGTTGTACTTAACAATTTTATGACTCGAGTAGCCGGCGTGTTATGTAACAGTTTTTGAACTTGAATGTTGTAACGTTTAGACGTTTAATTCATAGTACCTTGTATGAAATAACTTAGAATAAATGCTTCGAATAATGTGAAAACAATAAATAACATCCAGTCATTGCCAGGTTTTCAGAAGAAAGAATAAAATTTCACGTTTTTGTTTGTAGCCACTTTCGTTTTACCGGCGTAAACATCAAAATCACGTTTTTTAGCGGAACACAGATTTAATTTTACTCGCAGGTGACTATCATCACCAGGATTACGACATTCCCCACTGGCGATCCCTGTGAACACTGATGGACTGGTATTGAGATTTCGTCCAAAGGCCAACATTGTATGTGAATTCGATCTATTGTAGCTGTTTGCGGTCACTGGATGCAACCTTTGAACATGCGAATGTTCTGTAATTCACATGTTAGTTTATACGACTTCGGAGTTTCATTTTTACGTGTTGGCCTTTTCTCGGAGTGAGCCTTCTTCGCCTACTTATATAAATGTTTTTCTTATTGACATGCATTGTTGTTCTTGTTTTTGTCGTTATGAAACCGCTCGAGCTCTTAAACAGAGTTGCAATTTCTCTCAGTCCTTTAGCCTCTTTCAAGCGTTCAGTTAGTTGGGGCGCAGCGCGAAAAACAGCGCGCGAAGTCACGAGAAAACAAGAAAACCAAGACACCTGCCGAGCACTGACAAATGTGTTCCGCTAAACAACGTGATTTTGATGTTTACGCCGGTAAGACGGAAGTGTCTACAAACAAAAACGTGAAATTTTATTATTTCTTGCAAAACCCTGGCAATGACTGGATGTTATTAATTGTTTTTACATTATTCGAAAACATATATTCTAAGTTATTTTATAGAAGGTACCATGAATTAAAATTGCGTATTAAAGGACTACCCTCTCCCCCCCGCCTCGCTAAACGTTACAACATTCAAGAAAAACAACTCTTACATAACACCCCGGCAACTCGAGTTATAAAATTGTTAAGCACAACGCTTCAAACATTTGTTGTTTTCATAAACAATGTTCAACGCCTAGCTATAGGTCATTTAACATTGTTAATAGTCGGACAAAATGTTTGATCGGTGGCAAAACATTCTTCGAACAGAAAATGCCGGATAAACATGGGGTACTAAACGTTCTAACTTTGTTGAGGCAAAAACAAACATCAGGCACAATCTGAGCGGATCTGAATCCTACTGTCGTTTCATTCTGTGGGGTAGAATTTTAACTGTTTACACACCACTAGTAAAGGGTTGGAATTTGTATCTTGGTTACCAGAAGGTTTATGTTTTGTTTTCGCTTGTTTGATTGGGGCGCTTGTATGAACTTTAATCTTTTGTATCATATTTTTTTAAGCAATCACATGCAACGAACGGCTTTGACCAAGAGGTGAGCATATAACCATTCCATGATAACGAAAATCATACAAGGATTCAGTTGTAGGGGGAAATATATCATGCACAGAATAGGAACCATTTATACTGACAAAGCACGTTTGTAGACTTTGGCCTTCCGCAAAATCCGGCAGAAATTTGCCAGTGGCCGTAGCATCAGAGTGTGTTTTTTTCCTTCGTCAGTCACGAGAAAACAAAAAAGCCAACTTAACCAAGTCACGAGAAAACAAGAAAACCAAGACACCTGCCGTGCACTGACAAATGTGTTCCGCTAATTAAACAACGTGATTTTGATGTTTACGCCGGTAAAACCGAAGTGGTCACATACAAAAACGTGAAATTTTATTATTTCTTGTAAAAACCTGGCAATGACTGGATGTTATTTATTGTTTTTACATTATTCGAAAACATACATTTTAATTAGGTCCGTTTATACAGTCTCGGGTATTCGAGACAACTCTCCCCGCGAGTTACCCTGGCCGATGCATCAAACATTTGTTGTAGGTTAAACATTGTTAAACGTGCAGCTATGCGTCATTTAACATTGTTAAAAGTCGGACAAAATATTTGATCAGAGGTAAAACATTCATCCAAAAGAAAATGCCGGAAAAACTAAGCTTGTAAGCAAAAGTCACACTACTAGTCACTGTAGAGATGTTCCGATCATGATGTAGTTTACCAACAAAACAAATGGACCTTGAGTAGAAGCTGCACCTACCGGTTGAAATTATATATGAATCGCCAATGGAGAATGTGGTAATCCTAGTGATGACAGTCTCGTGTGAGTAAAATTAAAAGCTTGACAGTTAGGTCACATTTCTTCAATCAGTAAGCCATCCGAACTTGTTTTGTTCACTCTTTTTTTTTATGAGAACCTTTTTCATACTGAAGAACGTTGAGGCTGAGAGACGCCAAAGTTTTAGCAAAATCAGAAGTTCTTATTTACAGCTGTTCCAAAATAACTTCCACACCATCAACTGAAGTCATCGAATGATACAAAGTCTGAAGTACAGTCGAACCCCTATTAAGCGGCCACCTATTAAACGGACACCCCTATTAGGCGGCCACAGGAGCCATAATCGGTGGCTCCTGGCGGCCAGTAATCAAGGTCCCGATGAGGGCTTTTCTATTGTTTTCAGCTCTATTGAGCGGCCAGCCCCTTGTAAGCGACCACTATCCATTTCACCGAGGGTGGCCGTTTAATAGAGGTTGAACTGTACTTGTTTTGCAAGACACTGGGACTATCCCAGCTTTAGGCCCTCTTTCAACCAGGCGTTATTGAAGCGTTATTGTGGTCAAATAAAACAGCAGAAAACACTTGGTGGCCTGGAGGTAGATCCATGCATGGAATCACGGCTGTTGACACTATAGGTTCACGTGAACAGTGATGGACTGGTAAGGGGATTTCGTCCAAAGGCTAAGATTGTATGTGAATTCGATCTATTGTAGCTGTTTGCGGTGGATGCAACCTTTAGATGTTCTGTAATTCACATGTTAGTTTATACGACTTCATTCTCGGAGTTGCATTTTCACGTGTTGGCCTTTCCTCAGGGTGAGCCTTCTTCGCACACTTATATATAAATGTTTTTATTGTGACATGTTTTGCTATTCTTGTTTTTATCCTTATGAAACCGCTCGAGCTCTTAAACAGAGTTACAATTTCTCTCAGTTCTTTAGCCTCTTTCAGGCGTTGAGTTAGTTGGGGCGCAGCGCGGAAAAAAAGCGCGGGGAGAGGAAGCTTCCTCTTCTTTTTACAGTCGACCTTGGCCTTCCGTAAAATCCGGCAGAAATTTGCCGGTTGCCGTAGCATCAGAGTGTGTTTGTTTTCTTCGCCAGTCACGAGAAAACAAGAAAACCAGCTTAACCAAGTCACGAGAAAACAAGAAAATCAAGACACGTGCAACTTGTGTGTCGAGCACTAACAAATGTGTTCCGCTAATTAAACAACGTGATTTTAATGTTTACGCCGGTAAAACGAAAGTGGCCACAAACAAAAACCTTGCGTGAAATTTTATTTTTTCTTGAAAAAACCTGGCAATGACTGGGTGTTATTTATTATCAGTTTTACATTATTCGAAAATATACATTCTAAGTTATGTTATACAAGGCACCATGAATTAAAATTACGTAAGTATATTAAGCCTCGGCTAAACGTTTCAACATTCAAGACTGTTGCATGACACGCCGGCTACTCGAGTTACAGAATTGTTAAGCACAACGCATCAAACATTTGTTGTATATTAAACAATGTTAAGTCGTAGCAGTATACGTCATTTAACATTGTTAAATTAAAAGTCGGACAAAATGTGTGATCGATGGCAAAACATTCACCCAAGAGAAAATGTCGGAAAAACATGGAGTGGGGTACTAAACGTTCTAACTTTGTTGAAGCAACAAACATCAGACACAATATGAGCAGATCTGAATCCCCCTGGTCGTTTCATTCTGCGGGGTAGAATTTTAACTGTTTATACACCACTAGTAAAGGCTGGGAATTTTTAATATGTTACCATGGCTAGAAGGTTTATGTCTTGTTTTCGCTTGTTTGAATGGGGCGCTAATATCATGAACTTTAATCTTTTGTATCATATTTTTTGGGAATTTTTAAGCAATCACATGTAACAAACGGCTCTGACCAAGAGGTGAGCATATGACCATTCAATGATAACGAAAATCATACAAGGAGTTGTAGGGGGAAATATACCATGCACAGAATAGGAATCATTCATTTTAATTTATTCCTCTAATGCCCTCTAATTGTACCAAGGACTTAGCGTATTTGCCAAAACGATCTAAACAAAATTGAAGTATCATTTCCGTTTTCATAATTTCAATAGAAAGTTTAATTTAACACTACCAAAGTACTAAGGTGCTAA